CCTGGTACTCTTCTCTGAACTCTAACAATATATACAGTAATGCATACAGACTCATGCCATATTAAATTGTACAATGTGTGTGCACAGCCAGCTGCAAATTATGTTAAATGTGTTACATGGCAAGTGACCCAGTATCCCAAAAGATCATTGAAAGTAGCCTGTACAGACTATAACCATCAGCAGAAATCATTTCATTATTCTGTTAGAGTGCTTTTATTTGCCTGGTGACTGTATCAACGAGGTATTTGCTGTTCAACTCCTCTCGTGCCAAGAAATATATAACAATAACTAAACTGGGACAGCTCAAATTACTTTTAAAGGATAATAAAGGTTGTATTGATTTACCGAAGATTACATCAAGTCAATGTGCTGGCAGTGTTCACACTTAAAGTAGTTTCAGGGTTCGTTACAACAAAATAACTGTTTTTCCATGTCATGTCTCATTTGCTTGTCCAACAATCTAAATCAACCCAACTGGGCTACATAATTGGTTCAAGCCCAGATATAAAGCTGAAATAATTGATATACTGAACCATCTATAATCATTCAATCTCAATGACTAAACTCCAAAAGAAGGCAGAGATTCAATTAAAGTGCACCCTTAAAAAATATTACTTAACACAACAATGTGAATGTGGCCAAACAAGAAACATAACCTCATAAGCTCTTTATTTATACAAGAACACTTCCTTTATGCCTGCTGCGTTTCTCTGCTTTGTGGTTGTGGAAAATATGTATTATTTGGTTGTGTTACGATCTTTCTGTGTTGTGTTTTTGTCATGTCTGGTTCTGTCTTTAGTTTCCTGTCTCTGTGTTTCCCCTCCCATCTTGTCTGTTTCTGCTGATTGTGTGCACCTGGTGCCCGGTGTTGTCTCCTCCCCTCTCACCTGTGTCTTGTTCAGTTGATTAGTTTGTGTGCATTTAGGTTCTGGTTTTTCTGTTGGTCTTTGTGGGATTATTTGATGTTGTTGGAAGGTTTTTTGTTCAGAGGGATTTTTGTGCTTTTTGCCTAGCCTTATTTTTACTTTGTTGCTAGTTTGTTGCCCTCCAGCCGTGACAGGTTGTTAGCTCAAATTCATAGCGGTAAATGTGTCATGTAGACAGGATAAAAAAATATGTTCCACTAATATAATTAGATTTGCCTATGATATTAATAAGATAACTGGAACACCCTCAAAGGCAGGTCTTGAATGTTCTGCACCTCACATCCCATAAAACTAAAAAAGATTTCAGATGATAAACGGTGCCTCAGGGGTTGAATAGGCGTCTACCAATCAGAGGTTCAATGGTTCGATACTTCTGTAGTAAACATGAAGAAGTGTCCTTTTAGCAAGCTAAATAACATGCTAGGCCATACATTGGGTTTGTCAGGGCTAAGGCTGTGTGGGCATGATGGACACTAGCATACAATGATAAGCAATCTCATTGAAGCACATTGAAAAAAAAAAACTAAGATACATAAAATATATATATATAAAGATGTGCCTTTTTTATTTTGAAATTCCCATGGCGTGTCTGTTGAACTACAGTTGTGGTCAAAAGTTTACATACACTTGTAAAGAACATGTATTTCATGACAGTCTTGACTTTTCAATAATTTCTATAACTCTTATTTTTCTGAGAGTGACTGGAGCACATACTACTTTGTCACAAAACAAAAATCATGAAGTTTGGTTATTTAATGAATTTATAATGAGTCTTCTGAAAATGTGATCAAATCTGCTGAGTTAAAAAAATATACATACAACAATTAAACAAATTGGTAACATGTCCCTTGGCCATTTTCACCTCAATTNTAACTCTTATTTTTCTGAGAGTGACTGGAGCACATACTACTTTGTCACAAAACAAAAATCATGAAGTTTGGTTTTTTTATGAATTTATAATGGGTCTTCTGGAAATGTGATCAAATCTGCTGGGTCAAAAATATACATACAGCAACATGAATTATTAATGTTGGCGACGTAGAAAGTTGTTTCAATCAATTTAACTTTGTGACATGGCCTTTTAACTTCTTGAGTTATTATAATTGACTATAGCTGGTAACCCATTTAAATAGGGCTCATAAGATACAATCATTAGACTCAACCACAACACTACAATGGGAAAGTCAAAGGAGCTCAGCATGGATCTGAAAAAGCTGATCATTGACTTCAACAAGTCAGGAAAGTCACTTGTAGCCATTTCAGAGCAGCTGAATTATGTGCACACAATTGTTTGTAGGTATAAAGTGCATGGCACAGTTGCGTCACCGCCCTGATCAGGAATAAAACACAAGCCATCACCTGCTACTGAGAGAAAATTGGTCTGGATGGTCAAGAGTCAACAGAGTACCATTAAAAAGCAGGTCTGCAATTAATTAAGAGCTGCTGGAACACAGGTGTCAGTTACCACAGACAAGCGTTTTTTAAAACACTATGGGCTGAGAGGCTGCCGTGCAAGAAGGAAGCCCTAGCTCCAGAAGCGGCACATTAAGGCTCGACTGAAGTTTGTTGCTTATCACATGGGCAAAGAAAAGCCCTTGTGGAAGTAAAGTTCAGGGGTCAGATGAAACGAAAATGTATCTGTTTGGCTACAATGACCAGAGATATGTTTGGAGGAGAGAAGGTAAGGCCTTTAACCCCAACATCACCATGCCTACCGTCAAGCATGGTGGTGCTACTATTATTCGCTGAGCATGTTTTGCTGCCAATGGAACTGGTGCTTTACCTAAAGTCAATGGAAAAATGAAGAAAGAGGATTACCTCCAAATTCTTTAGGAGAACCTAAAATCATCAGCCAGACGTTTGGGTCTTGGGCGCAGTTGGGTGCTCCAACAGGACAATGACCACAGTCACACGTACAAAAAAAGGAATGGCAAAATCAGGCTAGAATTAAGGTTTCAGAATCGTTTTCCCAAAGTCCCGACCAAAACCCGATCGAGAACATGTGGACAGTGGTGAAGAAACAAGTCCATGTCAGAAAGCCAACAAATGTAGCTGAAATGCACCAATTCTGTCAAGAGGAGTGGTCAAAGATTCAACCAGAAGCTTGCCAGGAGCTTGTGGATGGCTACCAAAAGTGCCTAATTGAGGTGAAAATGGCCAAGGGACATGTTACCAATTTTTATCATTGCTGTATGAAGTTAGCAAGTATGTGGTTGTTCAGGAGAAAGCATTTGTTACAGTGAGTAGTAGTAACGTTATACAGTATGTGAACTGATGCTGTTATGTGTGAACTGATGCTTTTATGTGTGAACTGATGCTTTTATGTGTGAACTGATGCTTTTATGTGTTGCTGAATAAGTGTTACAATTCTGAAAATGTTTTAAGAGACTGAAGACACTCAGCGTTTAGAACAGCAGAAATACGTGTAGTGGGCATTGTCAATCAATCACTTCATTTGCCCCATTCACAATATCTCTTACAAAAAGAAACATTCAATATAGGCTCTATATAGCTATGTGTTGTTTTTCTAGGAAAATGTAAAACATCAAACTTCAGTACACATAATTGACAAGATATTAGCAAGATAGACAAACTATGACATATTACATTATCTTACATGTCAGTTGTTAGACGCTTTTATCCAAAGCGATTTACATAATCAATACTGTGGGCAATCCCCACAGGAGCAATTTGGGGTGAAGTATCTTGCCCAGGGACACAACGACATGCTGACTGCAGTGGGGTTTGAACCTGTGACCCCCCTGATCCGAACACCAACGCACAACCCACTGCACCACACGCCTCCCACATATTCACTTATTCTGAAACACCAACATCATGCATTTACTACAGATAAAAGTCAAATATTTTCTTGCGTTCTTAGTGAGTTTTGGTCACAATGATGACTCAAAATATACCAATTGTGGCCCTGTATCGCTGCGATAAAAAAAGTGAAACTGCAATACCAATCGTCAGGTATTTTAACACGGTAATGTATATTGTGAAACCGGTGATAAGCACATACTCACTAACTGCTTGGGTAATGCATTCGAACAAGTTAATAGTGCCAATAGGCTGAATCTTATTTTGTGACCTTGGAGCACTACTATCAATTGCATCTCTTTGACATTAAAGTCAATAAAAGTCGTTAACAGTGAAATATAAACTTCCTAACAACATTTTCCTACCTAGTGTGAGGCTTTTTGACCTTCATTAATACATTGATTATCAAACTTAAAGTGTGTTCCTAAAGGGTTGGCCACTATGTGAACTAGCAGGTTAATGTAAAGCTGCAGCTCCCATTAAAATAACATTCATATCGTGTGATTCACCAGTCCAATAATCAGTGGGCTTTTAGGACTAAAACGTGCAGATGCTAATGAGCACTTTGTCACACAGTGTTAGAGATGTAACATCCACACGTGATTTAATGACCAGGTCTGAGAGAAAGGCAAAGTGTGTAAAAATTGATTGAACTGGGTTTGCCAAAGAGCTCAGTGAGCGGCTAACATTCCTCGTTAAAGTCTTCACACTCAGCTTTGAGGTGTTGCTTATACACACACACATCATCATAACATGTCTGTTTTCATAATGGTTAATAAGCACATTAAATTGGGACATTTGGTCGGATTATTGAGTAACATGAATAGATATTGTGCAAGCAAAGAGTGGATAATGTGTGGATAATGTGTTGGGAGTGATCAAGCGAATCTGGGAAAATATCATGGAAAATATTAGCAAATCGGAACATTTTACAGGTAGTTGGAATACGAGAGATATTGTAACAATATAATACATTCTGAGCTTGTGATGACAAATCCTCCAGAACAACGTGAAATCTCACCCCTTACTCTCTCATTTGCTCATTCACACACAAAGACACACGCACACACGCGTGGTGAGGATTGTATCACTAATGAGTTGGTTTGGCTGCAGTTGAGTTATGGGCATGAGCGCATGGTGGGACCTCACCCCAGTGCAGGCTGGGAGAGTGTACTGAGTGCACCTAACGCCACAGGCTGCCAAGGTCACGTTCTGACGGATTTATCAGCTGGCAACTCTTCACTGATGATTTTAGATGGATGCCGTGACCTGACCACAAGAAGCTTGGAGGAAATACTAACATTTTTACAAAAAAAACTGCAGATTGAATTTTTGTTTAGTTTTTGGGGAAATAAAATAGATACTTCAAATGTAACTGCAGTTATTGTGCATATTATTTATTTTATGTTAACACATGTTTTGGGGTCACTCCAGTCTCTTGAGTTTCTGGGGTGATAACAGAGAAGCATTGTTTCAACAACAAGTTCTGTAAACTTGAATGATGCACGGCTAACTGGATAAGGATATAGGTAGAATGTTGTTTTGTACCTATATCCTTAAAGGGGCCCTAATATGTTCATCATATTTGTATTTTTTGCCTTTACTCATGTGTGAGGGAACTTTGGGGTTTTAGCCTTTGCAGATCACTTACAGTACATGCATAAAACATAACACACTGTCTGTTTGAGAAAACCCCAAAAAGCATAATAGGGCCTATTTCAAATGTGCATCCAAATAACGTTAGCTAAAAACATTAGCAATCTAACCTCTCTGTCCTTTTTGCATTCAACTAAACGTTCCACTCACAAAATTAAAGGAAGTGAGCCTAATTTGCTAACGTCAGCACTAATTCCCACTCGACACATTCTTGTTATTTTAACACTTGCTGAGGCATTTGGTAATGGCATTTTTACTGCCCCTTCACAAATATTTCACCTTTCATTTTACAGTACCTACATCGTCAAGGGAACCAAATTCACACCCTATAGAGAAAATCAAGGTGTTTCTCAGTTTTGGCACTTCTGTTCATGACGCACAATGTGAACCTACTTGCGTAGTACATGAACTGCTAGATTATCTCAAATCGAACACAGCTGTTGTGGACTTACCGGATATGACAATCACAGCTAGCTAGCATTTGTGCTATTGTTCGCATTAATGGACCATTAGAGACTGCTCAATAAACTCAATGAACCCATACCATTTTTGAGAAAATAAGAGTAGTACAAAGGGTATAATACTGGTATGACTTCCATTTTTAGAGTGCGGTGTTCACAGGCTCCTTCGCAACCGCTGTTGGTCCCACCCCCGTCAAATACGTGGTTAAGGTGTTGACTGTTGAGGGTAAGAAGTGTCACGCTATGAGTAAGCTATCTGAGAAGTCATTGCATTCTCCTATGCTTGTGAACCCATGTATGAACTTAAAATAGCAAGTATAAGTAAAGAACACAAATCATGGCATATTGCCAAGGGATTACATGTCATATATGACCCGGTACTGAATATATAAAGAAATTCATAATGAGACACAACAAAAAAAACAAAAAAACAAACAACATATTTACGGTCATTCAAAAACGTTTTAATGTCCAATTTTGGAAATGTTCTGCTCTTAGACCAGTCTAAAGATTTCAATCTACAAGTTAGAAACAATGGAGAACCACAATTGTTACCCAAAAGCAATTGTATAAATAGTTTTTTACACATTAAGTACCGGAAAATCAAAGTAATGCTTAACTAAAGTACTCCAATAAAGCTACATAGTACTCATAGTCTGACCAAGAGTCAAGGTTTGCTTACTAAAGGGTGCAACTGTAAAAATGTTAACTTAGAGTTGGATTTCTACTCTCTGCTTCAGTGTCTCCATATCCTTATGCCAATAGATTAATGTACCCCGCTTTATCATCTTATTTGAATTGATAAAAGGCTAGTATAGAATCAGTAATAGACGAAGAGCTACAGAGAGTGAACAAGTGGAGGTAAAGTTAGGCAGCTGAGGAAGTAATTACCTGCAGCTGTTGCACTTAGTTGGGGAGGTATAAATCTGTAACCACATCAGAAATTGTCCATAAGATTTATAGCTTAGGAAAACCATGTGTGTGGCTCTTTAACACTCCTTAACCTACAGAGCCGTCTTTTAGGCTTCCCCGGAAAAAGAGCCGTTGGGCTATAAGGAGAAGTAACTCTGGATACAGTACAGGGTGACATACGTTGTATAAATTCTTAAGCAGGGAAAAAAAAGAGATCATGTTACCAACATCTAGTGTAAAACTCGAATGGGCTCCAAAACAGGTAAATAAAGTAGTGGAAAAAGAAAAGACCTGAGAAGCCAATCAATCACTTTAATGAGTCTGTGTGACTTAAAGGAGTTATGAGGACTGGGCAGAATATTGCCCAACAAAAAACATATTTATATAAATGCCCAAATATGCCAGAGGCTGTAAAAACGAGAGAGCAAAAACTAACTTTCTCAACAGGACTGGAACCATTCACACATCTGAGATCAATTAATCTGTCTGACCATTCATTCACTTCTCGATGAACTAAAAATCCCTAGTGAACTTTGCATGATAGGCTGTCTCTTTGTATGTATAGAGGACTCATAGACTTGTAAAAGTAGCCACTATGACGACACAGATTGGTTTTTGGACTATCATTTAGTTTGGCATTTTGGCCATTGCCATCTTGGTCTCTTGGAATCAGATGTGACACGAGAGGGTTAGGGTTACTAACTAAAACCAGTGGAGTTGACCACGGCTGGCGATTGGCCAACATTTTTTAAGTTTGCATCTTGGGAGGACCTGATGTATGGTGAAAACCCACACGGAATCTTATGTAATCAGAATCATTGGTTAACACATCATAAGTTATAAAATAAATTTAAAAATTGAAGTTTGAATCATACAAAAGATACTGACAAACATACCATTACATACAAAGTGGTAAAAGTGTTAGCTGCCTGCTGTAAGTATTTTTCTCCATATATTGATTAGAATCAGTATTGGCAGGTCCTAAATGTTGCTATATCTCGCCCCCAAAAAGGTGGTATCAAGCCATCTCAACCTGCTGCTGTTACCATCTATAAAATTGAGACTTGAATCAGCAATAGTCATTTTAATTGGGTTACTGGTCTCAGAATTCAATAAAGTGGCATATTAGGAAAGATTAACTAATGAAAAGTATGAATCAATAATAATAAGCTAACATTGCTTAAATTCCATAAATGAAAATGTTTGACACTCTCTCACTCTCTTTCTGTCAGGTGAGCTTTAAGGGGTTGTAGTTGGATCTGTCCCCATGATGATCCCAGTGAAAGCATTAAATGGCGTCAGTGGACGGGAGGAGGTAATAAAGCTGTTTATTGTCACAGGTGGGGCAGAGTGTGTGATTCTGTTGAGGTTGTAGGCCCAGCTGGAGGAACCAGCAGTGTTCAGAATGAAGCCCCATCCGGGCCGGGCCTGAGGCTCCTTGATCAAGTGGACATGTTTACATGGTACTACAGTACAGTGACTCTCAGTGATCACTGAGGAAAAGTAAGGTCTTGACTGCGAGCCATTTTAAAAGGAATTTATTGCTTGACTTTTTTTGACTGCTACGAAAAATATATCAACTGTATTAACATATAACTGACAGAACAATTGGGAATTATTGAAATTATAACGTAATGATGAGATTGGTTCGATTTATTCAGCCATTTAAAGTGCAGTGTCACTGAGGAAATGACCCAGCGAGGGCACGCAAGCTGGGGGAGTTCCAACGAAAGGATACTCCCACATTGCACGGCCGTCCTTTGACAAATCATGTTATGGGAAACACTGGGGAGGATTAAAAGCAAACCAAACTAGAATGCACTGGATGTATGACACAAGACAAAAACAGAGCTTTGTTGTTTTCTAATGATTATTGGAAGCCACAATCTGAATTGAATACAAATTATATAAGCATACTAACATTTGCTCATTGACAAAAAGTACAGCTAGGGCTGATGGATATAATAATAAAACATTACATTTATAAAGCGCTTTTCCTGGTACTCAAAGAAAAAGTCATGTGATCACCAATATTAGTATGATTGCTCCTCTGGGGACCATGAATCTCTCAAAATGTTGTAGTGGGAAACCTTCCAATATCCAATCCCTAAATTCATGCCACTATGGCTGAAAAACAAATCCATCACTGATTCTGAATAAATGAAAATAGTGGCAGTAAAGTCAACTATAAAGGTCAGAAAAAGCTTAACAGTGCTTGTTTACCTCTTGATTCCCTCAAGAAACCATGTAGGTCACAGTTCAAAGTGCTGTAGTTTAAAAAAATGTCAAGAATGTCAAGGTTGTAGGAAACATTGCCATGTAACACTAATCTGCTCCTTGCATCAGAGTGCAGCTTTAAAACAGAAAGGGAAAGGAGACCATGACAAAAGGGACTTGCCAGGAACCAGAGTGACTTAAAGAGAAAGTGACTGTAAAACAGCTTGTCTTTAGCGTACTGAACTGACTTGGCCTGTGGCCCCTTCTCAAGTCAAGCCCCGCTGCCAAGGACTTAGTGACAATATTGCATTGGCTTCATCCACTGGGACACCGGCTGCAACAAGCTAGTCTTATGGGCTTAAATTTGTCTCATAATTATTTGCGTGAACATACAAATAATTTGTGTGTAAATATGTGATTTGTAAATGTAAAACACCATCCACAAATGCATTTAAAAGATTTGCAAACTCACTAATAAATGTGCAAATGTAAAACAGATCTGCAAATACGCAAAATATTTTCTGTGAATACTACAATTAAGTTACAAATAGGAAATTGTGAAAATCTCTTTAACATTGACAACTTTCGATCAGGCATTTGTCAATCCATTTTGTATTTGTCAACCAAAAATGGGCTTGTGGATCTCAAATATCTGCTTGTGGATCGTCTTTTTACACACACAGAGTTTTGAGACAAACTTTCCGCCGGTCTCGACCTAAATCTGCTCGTGTCACTCGGTGTGTGTGTGTGTGTGTGTGTGTGTGTGTGTGTGTGTGTGTGTGTGTGTGTGTGTGTGTGTGTCCTCACAGCAGCGTTGTTGCTCTGCGCTGCTTGGGAGGCGATGCCAGCGACGTGGTTGATGAGGGGGGAGAAGTTTGTGGGTCCAGAGAGTCTCAGCTGAGGCAGGACCATCCTGTAGGCCTCCACGATGCCCTGGACACCTGACAGAGAAGAGGTTTAACAGAGAGGAAAATATTTAGTCATATGTTGAGCAGCTGAGACAATCTAGGGAAATATAGAAACAGTAAATCAGGTTATCAAGTTCGGGTTGATTACAGGAATTCTCTGTAGTTCTTGTCAAACTCTGCTGTAGTTACCCAGGGAAATAAGAAGAACCAGGGATATTTTATAATGTGTGTACCAGGGGCGGCGGGTACTGTAGGCTAGGGAAGGCTAGGCCTTCCCAAATATTTGTGTCACTGCATCCTGGTAAAATAAAAATATAATGTTTGTGTCTTTGACATTAGCGCTGCTATGCAGCCACCTGTGGCCTGTACTACGAAGCCAGTTCAACATACCCTGGATATGTTTGAGTTATCTAAACTAACCCTAACAATCGAGATCTCGCCAAGTGGTCCTACGACGCTGGTTATCAAGTCGGTAAATCAAGCCAGTGTTTCTCTCTCCAGCTGAGAGCGCGTTCACGTGAAAGGGGCGGGGTTAGCAACATTTGACCAATCACAAATAGGGACAAGTGTACTGACAGCACTTTTTTTTTGTCTCCTTTTCAAAGAGGGTGTGACCATTAGGTTGGGGACCAATTAGTTACAATCCTTACAGTTTTATACAAATGAAAGTAGTAAAAACTAGCTCCACCTGGACTAGCATCAACACTGAAATGCTTCTTTAGTATCATAATATCAGTACTTATCATTTCATATTGTCAATTTGTCACAAATAACATTAGTCCTTGGTACCATGTATTTGAGTATTTCAACTTCAGAACTGTAAACTATAAACAAGAGATAGTGAAAGATTTAGAGTACAGGGCTGTAACTGCGTGTGAATACCTTGGCAGAAGGGGTTGGCGGGGTTGAAGTTGAGGGCGAACTCATGATTTGCAGTCTGAAAGATCAATACAACAGATAATTAAACAAAAGCAATCTACAGGTCTGATTGGCTGCTAGAAAAACCTGATGCTGTTATTTCAACATTCAATTTTATAAAAACTGATTTAATCTGCTGTGTTGTGATTGGCTGCTTACCTGGTAGTCTGGAGGCAGTTTGGCTCCAAAACCGAACGCTGGGAAGAGTTTATCACTGAAACAGGAAAAGAGAAAAAACACTGAGTCACATAAATAATAGCATATTATATTTTTCTAGCAGGATTCAGATTTTTGATTGCGTAGTTGTTTCCCCAGGTTTGTGTGAGCGTGTACTCACGTGTCGTAGTCCTGCACCACGTTACCCACGGACCACAGAGCCGACAGGTACTGGTTCAGCCCGTCTTGACTCATGTAGTGGAGAGAGTTGGGCGTGCGAGGGTCTCCGTTAGAGCCGGTGAAGTCGACCCCCACCTGCAGTGTCACACATTCATCCATTCTTCAAATACATCGGTATAGAACAGATCAAGGAAGGGATTATGACTGATAACTGAAACGTCTGTATCCATCACAGTTAATAAAAGGTCCTGATAGCAATCATCTTATCAGCTAAAAAACACAACATTTAATAAGTTTGATTTTTTTATATATATATATATATATATTAATGATGTGGACTTGACTGTAATTGGTGGATTAAAATGTGCATGTATTGATGTAAACATACAGTGAAGTTGACCTGGCAGCCGCCCATCACATAGTCCAAGAAGGTGTACTGAGTTAACATCTGCAAACACACAGTGAAACATTCAAGAAACAATCGCAGAAGTGAAGCATGGCTAGTTTATATATGTTTTTCACGGCACAAAATACCACTGCAGACAAAGGCATTTACATCATCTGGGAAAAATTATCTGAAACAAGATGTGGGATGTAATCAAGTACATTTAGTGCTGTAGTTGAGGATGACTTTGAAAAGTATTAACATTTTTACTCCACTACATTAAATAAAGTAAATATTGCAATTATTTTACTTTTTACTCCACTGCATTTATACGACAGCTTTGGTACCTTCTCAGATTCAGAGTCGACACCAGTATTTTCAAACCGGCACTATAGGTAAAAGGAAAACTTTGGAAGGACTCCCCCTTTATGGTTTACAAAGAAGGGAACTCTGGGTAATGTGGTCTTTACCTTGCTGTTCTTCAAAGATACGACTCCAGAGTTCTTGTAGCTCTTCTTCTTCTTCTGTTTGTCGGGGTGGATGCAGTCAAACGACACCTGGAGGACAACGCACCAGACACGTTAAAAACCTCTGAAGCGTGCGAATATAACATAAATAATATTATATTCCCTGAGCTCACCGGGGAACCACCTGCAGCTTTCATCAGCTCGGAGACTTTAGTGGTGAAAGAACCAATCAGATCATGAGTGCCGTCGCTGTCATAGTCAGAGCAATCCACCTGCAGAGGGGGGAGCAGAGCTCATGTTAACTGTTACAGATTTGATGGGCTGTTTTGACTGAAGGTGGATTCTGATTGGTCGAACCTTCAGTGGTCTTTCCAGGTCGGAGCCGCAGAACGTCTGCAGGGCGACGGTGAACTTCTTCCACGAGGGACTCAGATTGTTCTTCACCACCTACACACAATGACACAAACAGGCATCATTAGCCATTTTTCACCATCGTTTGAATTTAAATGACATCATAGTGTGTGTGTGTGAGTGTGAGTGTGAGTGTGAGTGTGTGTGTGTGTGTGTGTGTGTGTGTGTGTGTGTGTGTGTGTGTGTGTGTGTGTGTACCTCTGTTCGGTGGACCAGCTGCCACTTCCCATCGTCTGCTTTTTTGAAAAACTCCAAGAATGGATCAGACTTCCCAAACGTATCCTGAATAGAGAAAAGACATGTCATTCAGTGTGTTTACATTTTTGAAGTGACTGAATCACAGCCTTGTTTCTCCAGTAAGCAGAGATGCTAAATGAGAAACCCCTTACCAGTAATCAGGTTATGGGATTATAGAAATATTAATGAGGAGAAAGCAGATTTAGTCTGCCACTTATATGTATGGGTAACCAGGTTTCTAAACTACAATGAACTTTATAAGTATGGATGTGCATAACAAAAAGTAAAGGTATAGTCACTTTAGTCTTCCATCAAAGGAGTCAGCCCTGCACTTATTTAAGGCGAGACACGGCAGGCAAAAACATCGTTTTTCAAGAACTGGTCAATTTTGAGATTTTTGTGCTATTTTGAATTCTATAAACATGTTTCCTTTCAGGCTTTTGGAAGAAAACGTACAAAAATACACCATTTAAGTGTCTTATTTGACTATAGTGTTGTCTATTTGCCGCGTAGATTTCTCCTAAAATTCCCACCAAAAGTTACTTTCAACGTAACATAAAGTAACCGCGACCGCTGTGGTGCACCATGTCAACAGAGATATCGTTAGAAAGCTGTGTCTCTCCTGCACAATCTCATCGGATCCAAATATGGTCAATTTCCTTTGTATCAGCAACCAATCGTGAAAGCACAAAGGGGTCCTTAAACCAAAAAACGAAATCTCATTGGCCTGGTGTCAATTTTCCAAGACAACGTGATTCGTTCAGATGCGTCACGTGTGTGAAAACACTTCCTGGTTAGCTTTCCGCTAGAAATGTAATTCAAAATGGCAAAAGAACGGCAAAAAAAAAGTTTTACAGAGAAGAATGACAACAATGATCCCTTGCACGAAGCAAGATTATACAAAAAACAAATGACCCCGAACATGAAATACCTTCACGCGAAGAGCTTCGAGGCGCAAGCTGTCACCAAAGAACAGGAGGTTTAGCTAGCCGCCTCACTTGCAATCTTAAAGGTCCTTTTCACAAAAATGAGTTTTTTCTCCTACTCTGAGTTCGAAATTTCAACTCAGTAGCACGTAGACACACCAACTTCCAGTTATATTCCTATCAATATTATGAAGGCTTTACAGAAAGCGGGTTTGGTTCATATATCATTCATAGCCTGAATTATACAACATTGTAACCTAAAAACATGGCAATAATTGATATTTAGGCTGTTGACAGTATTTTCCTGATTTATGGAGTGATAAAAAGAGATATCCAAAATCCTTTTGTAAAAGCCTTAGATACTAATATGGACGACAAAATGAAACAAGAATTTTGAACCTGGCTTTATCCAAAGTTCAGATTTCGTATTCCTGAATGTGTTAAAATATGGCACATATTTGATGAGATAATGGCCTAATTTTGCATATGTAAACATGCATTCAAGAAACTGTAATACAAAAGACAGATTTGCCTTATTGTAAGAATTAACTGGAGAAATTTCTAGCTGATACCTTTAAGTAAAAAAAATTACCCTATCACCTGGGGGTGTCTCCGCCTTAAAAGGCCCAGTGAAAGTGTGCACCTGTGCATGATCTGTTATGCTAATATGTATAGGTAATGGACCAAATTGTCTATGGACCCATATTCAAAAGATGTTGGATAGCAATGAATTTGACGAGTTTTGAATTTGCCGCCCTGGAAATCTGGCGCAGTTGACCTCCGCTTCGTGGGCGTGGCTTGCGATCTACTGCGGGACCGTCACGAGATGGACGCCGCCGCCACTAAATTTACATTCACCACCGTTCCATGTTTTTCACTTTTTCAAAAGTCAATTTCTCAACGTTTTTGAGCAGTATTTTACTGGAAAGTGTTGGCGGAGTCGACTGGCAAGTGATTGCCCAACATCGAAAAACCTGACAATGAGCGACAGTGAAAAAAATCGGAGGAAAAAACACAGCGGGAAGCGATGCATTGCCGCTGGCTGTGAGTAATGTCAAGTCTGCCGAAGTGAAGATGTTTCTGTTCCCAAAAGATGAAGGTGAGCTTGGCCTGGTGTCATTGTTTTGTAGATTCGTTGATTGTTCCATGACAAATAAAGGCCCACTGGTCGATATCGATTCGATTCGATTCGAGAGAGAGAGAGAGAGAGAGAGAGGAGAGAGAAAGAGAAAGAGAGACTGAGAGAGTACAGGGTTGATTTTAGCATCTGGTGCTAGCTCGGAGCTAACGGGAGATTAGGCTGTTTCACAATAAGGAG